ACAGCTCAAATATAATAACAAGTAGAGCAGTAAAATAACAAAACGTTTCCCACTAATACAAAGAAAATGTTCCCATCATGATAAATATTGACCCCTACACCAAATTTTTGTTCAATCCATCATGTACTGTACTGACCAGAAACCAATATAGTAATTATTGTGACATGCCTATTATGGTATGGTTCAGATCAGATGTACAGATCAAAACGACAACAACTGATACTCCTGATGTGGTAGTTTTAAAGGTGGGGGTCACTCATATTATCCATGCAGAGAGCTGTTGCTTCATAAATGCGGAGAGATGCCATCATCCAGTTTGGAAGCAAAAAATAGACTTGGTGCATCACAATGACGATAGTGTCAGAAATGGCCCCAGTCCATTATCCACATTACAAGTCTCAGTGCTAATGATGCACTGCTTAACAATAGGGCTGTTTGTTATAAATATTGACCAATTATAATGTATTTACTGTACATTATTGAATCAACGATTTATAGAGTAGATTTATAGGGTATAATATTGCATAGTAATAAACTGATAGGATGGCAGATATATCAGGTCGATAACCAGGGCTCAACACAAAATAATTAGTTGATGAAATTATCAAAATTGGCCCTACATATCATCCCAAAAGTTAGCCATTTATTTCTCTGGTTTGTAAAGAATGTGCACTGGGACAAGCCATGAATAAAAATATATGGACCTCTAATATCACAGTTATTGTTTTGGAGAAAAAATCTACATCTGGATATATTAACAAATAATGTATATAAAGAGCACTAAATGATTATAAAAACTAAAACAAACTAGCTGCTTAATCTTTTCAATAAAGCTAACATGGCAGTTCTGCTTTTTTGTGGTTTATTTTATAGTCCATTCAAGTTTTGTGAGATACACAAACCTCAACCCTGACATTTATAGACATTGTTTGGACACTTTTCTGATGGATTGCCATAATATGATCGGGATATTGTCATTGAGATATCCTTAAAAAATCTAGATATTAATTTCAGTCAATATCACCCATACTGCTGTCTTTTCTAAAAAAGATAAGAGCCAATGAACTGAATAATTTCTAAGAGAGCTATTTTTTGCTTGCTCAGTTAGTTGACAGTTTTAACCTCGTGTAGCACAATAATTTGGTTCAGGTTTGTGTCACTATAAGTAAATTATTTCTGTGATTTTTGGATTTTTGAATTTTCAACACCTCATGTGATACTTAGTCAATATGTAAATAATGCACAACTGCCTCATATATTGATGACATTGTCCTAACCATCCTTGTGTAAAATGCAGGAGTTTTAAGGCATGCTCATCTGCTGTAAGCCGGCGCTGGTCCCAAAGGAGCCCAGGGAGAAGCGGGGCTGATGAGGAAGTGACAGACGGACAAAGAGGAACAAACCGAAAAGGACACAAGCGAAAAAGAACGCTGCAGCAGACTGGCATTTCAACACTGCCCCGGGACAAGCGAGAGAGTGGTACAAAGAGGACACATACAGACGCTGAAGGGAGGAATGCTCATATCTGAACAGGTCATTTTAGTGCATGGAGAGTGTATTATATTGTTTATGCCAGTTTTACAAAAATATGTAGCAAAAAGTATTTACATTTTTAACAACGAGTCTAAATACTGACGCCACACTAGATGGGTTGATATAATAATTTTCCGATATCCAGTATTTAACTTGCTGTAACATCAGGTTTTCTGAGGCTTTTTGCCAATACTGACATCAATGTCGAGATTTCTATATTACACAAATTGAAGTAAAGCTCACAGATTAACTGTTCACTTTATTTTTAATGGACACAGATAAGAAAATGAATCAATATATGGAAAAATCAGACTGAGAATCAAGATTCCTCATGCAGACCACTGAAAGTATATTAAAGAAAGAAACCAATGCTATGAGAATCACACAAACGCAACACACTTGGACAGACTGTGCTCTCTGACAAAGGGATTCATTATTGGAAAGGTCTTCCTCTGACAATAAAAGAAAGTCCAACATTAGCCACGTTACAAATGGTACTTTAAACTGTGGATAAAGAACAGTCTGTGTGCACTTTTAACTGGCCTTGTATCATTCAGTGTTGTCTTTCTTGTTTTGTAATTGTCTTCTGTATTATCTGCCTAGGGACAACAGATGGGAATTAACGTCTTTGCTATAATCTGCCATATTTATACTGTAACCATTACAGATTCATTAATAAATTACGCACAGTTCTTATCCAATAAAATGAAATAAAAAATTAAACCGTTGTAAGTAAGCAAATATTTACTAAACTGTATTCTATGTAAGATATTATTATAACCATACATCGTTTACAGACAATTAAAAACACACACACACGAGGTAAGAAAGGTCTGCATTTGCTCCTTATCAAACTATTCCTGATTGAAAGCATGTAAAGATGGATGCTACTGTGAAAGATGAAAAGAACAAAGTCACTAAAGGCTAACTAAATATACACGTGCTGTTTTAGTCTGTGTTTCAATCACACACTATGACACATTTTGAAAACGCTGAATGAGCTCGTCCTTGGCCTCTGTCCTGACCTCCCATCAGTTTTCAATAAGACATGATCAAATAGAGAAATCTCACCGTTCTTAGTACACAAAGAAGGGCCACTGAATTTAATTGCCTCTCTGGACATAGAGCCAAAGAAATCATGTGTTCTAACAAAGTTTTTTCTATTATGACATGTACATAAGATCAGTAATTGAATAGTTTTGGTATTAATTCCCCACAATGCAAATTAATATAATTCTCATTGATAAAAAGAGGTCATTAATGTGAAAGCCATCAAGAATATTCTGTTCTTTCTTGGCATGCTATGTTTATAATTATTTTGTGTGACAAAACTATAAAGCTGCACATCAGAGTGAAGCCCGCAGCTACTTCAAGCCTGACACTCCACACTTGGTGATGGTAAACTACTTTGGTAGCCTCAGCTGCCCTGGAGTAGACTGACAAAGATAAGGCTACAAATCTGCACCATCAGCCCTCTATAACCACCACCAATAGCTCAAGCACTCAAACACAACATTCATGGACAAGATAAAGTGAAATGTCTTGCCCAAGAACACAACAATCAAGTATGCACTGGTTTAAGCAAAGATCAAATCGCTGACTGGTGATCACTAGGCCACTGCAGTCTTGGCTTATTTTATTTGTTAGACAGAAACTCATTTAAGAGGGCACTGAAAAACTGCATATATCATTTTTACAATTATCACAACTATATTTTCCCAAAGAAGCTTAAGCCCAGATATCTTTGCAGAGATGATTATTAGAGTAGCAAATGTGTGCACTGAAACTGTGCCTAATCTATTTACTAAAGAACTGTAGTGCATCAGCCGTGACACTTTGAAAATCCACTCAAATCTGCTCAACCGAAAAGACCGGTGATACACACAGCAGTAATATTGGGGAAGAGAGCGAGATGTAGAGAATATGAGCACATTTCTCTGTTGAACATGCAAAAGTATTCACGGAGGCCGATCCAAACTCCTGTTTTGGGCAAGTCAGCATTTTGTGAGCTGAAGAATAGCTTTGAATTATTCCCAAAGACAAGGCCAGAGATTTAGATGAAAGAAGACAGAAGGGAGAAATACACTTAGGGAGTTAACATTTTATAGTACAATTGCATTATATAAGAGTTAGAAAAGAGAAGCAATCAAAATACAAACATAGATATGCTAAGAATAATGGTATGATAAAAGGTGGATGACCCCTTTAAATAATTCAGTGGGGCAAAAGAGGGCAAGACCTTTTGCGAAGCACTGCTAAAAGATCATTTCAAATCATCTGGGTGCCTACTGTACATTTTTTATTCATTACTAAACAGTACTAACTCCATATTGTTATTGTCATGGACACTTTTGATTCAGTCTCAACTACCAATGTAAAGGTAACTGAAGAATGCATGTTAAACTAGCCTTGACTTGGACAACAGATACTGCCGGGGTCATAAGCAGAAAACCTGTGGTAGTAGGGCACACCACTGTTATGAAGATGCAGAGTGAGGCTACAGCTGACACACTATTAGTTCAATCCTTAATGTTGCACTGGGTTTCACTTTGTTTAGTCCTGTTTGGACACAATTTTAGTGCTTGCTGTGTGACCACTATAGTAACAGATTTTTAGCTCCAGGTTGTTTAATTCCTGTTATATTAAACACACGCATCTGCAATCTTCTGCTAATATTAAGGCAACTGAACGCTGCAATCGTGTTACAGCACTATTACAAATATAGCAAATGTCTCGCACTTAAAATAACATGACTATTAGAGCAGGAAGGCAAGCAACTGAAGTGAACTCAATTACCTCTCTTTGCAACAGCTTTGCAACCAAAACATTATTCTTCTTTTTGTGCAAGATTGTCTTCTATAATGCATTTTTTGACACAAATTAGCTTTTACAAATACAGCAAAGCACAACTTGAATTCAGCTAAACTACTCTCAACTTTAGAGAAGCTGAAACAATAGCATAGAAATATCGGGTTGTTTACTGTCCACTTTACCAACAAGTAGACTTAAGATTCATGTCATTTAGGTCATTGGGTTGACAGTGGCTCGTATACCAGTTTACAAGTAGTGCAAATTTCATCTTAAGTGATGCAAAATGTAGGCTAAATAACTAACAATATAGGACTACTTAATGCTCATCCAGAAAGAAAAGACCCAAACACAAGGTGGATTTTGAAACATCAACAAAGTGAGGATTAAGTAATAATTTCTTGTTTTTCCTAATAGTATCAAGAATAAGTGACTAACAGGACTTTAATAGCACTTTTATAGCAAACACTCCTCGGATCTCGTGGGCTTGATGTCATACATTTCTACTCGCGTCCTGAACAATTACTGTCCGTCAGGTGGAAGGTTCTCTCACATCACCTATCAATCACTCTCACTTACACTAACCCCTGCTAATACAGAGGAGCGCCGTGACAGGAAAACACCATGACACTTTATTAAAAAAGATACAGTATTCTTACCTTCAATCAAAACGTGTCTTTTCTTAGAGATCAGATGACAGGTTAGCTCATTTAGGCAGCATCAGTCCCATTCATTGCCCGACGATCTGAGCAGGGAGGTGAAGACATTTAGAGGGGAAAAAAGAAAAATTTCTCCGATTGAAGTGGACTCTTTCCACAGAAATAACCTCGTGTTCACTCATTAAATTTTCCTCCTCGTAACAGCGGCTTTTGACGTTGTTTACAGCTAGCCTAGCAGTCAGAGAAGCAGAGAGAGAGAGCAGCTGCTTGGAAAGCGACTTCACTCGGCTGCGCTTAGGCTCCACCTACTGCCGGGGGAAATCTCGTATTGAAGTCTCGCGAGAGAAGTCTTTTTATTTATGTATTTATTTATATTTAATACATAATGACATGACTGATAGTGCCTCGTTTTATCTCAGTAGGCTATCTTGTTTTCCTTGCTTGTCCAGTAAAATACTTAATTTTGAGCTGAAATTCTGACCAACATGTTCAAAGTAGTATAGGTTAAATAGCAGCTTGTGTGCTAGAAAGGCTACAACCATCCAAACAACCAAACAACAACTTTGGTTCATGTTTTTAAAGGTACATATGTTACATAGGTTATGTAACCTTTCTGGTTGAGCATCTGCCACCTGCTTGTCTCTATGGAAATATTCCAAAGTATGACATTAAAAACACTGGCAGAAACCACCATCCAGGCCAGATCTTTGGAGTGTTGACCCCACCCACAATAAGAATGCAAGGTTTTTCAAGGTATTTGTAAGCAATAAAATATAGATCTTTTAATGCCATTACTTCAAGAGAAACATTCTTGGCAAAGCAAGAAGGTAGACGCCTTTAGAAAAGATACATAGTGCACCTTTAAGAGCAAAACTTCCCAGTGTAAAAAAGAAGATGCTTATCGTAAGTGAATATAGCATTTTGCATAGACTTGTACTATAGGCCTAATTTATATTTTACATAGGCAGTATGGCAGTATGTACAATATTCATATTCTTCTTCATCTCTTAATAAAACATGCAAATATTACAAAAGCTGTGTACCATGGATTTAACAGTGCTCATTAGAATAAACTGAAAATATATTGCAGCATATGGTGGTTGTGACAAAGGGGGGATAGCTCATTATTAGCTAATTTGGCCTAATGTATCAAGCAAAACCTCTGTGGAGTTAACTAGCCCTTGTGCCTCCAATGGCTGAATACTGTGCAACACCACCATCTACAGTTTATAAAGTGAAACGCAACACGCAACACACATTATAGCTTAGCTAGTCTACTATACATTATCCTATATATCACAAGCATGTGAACTAAACTACAATGTGAAAATGATGAATCAAAAATGAAAGAGAGAGAGAGGGAGGGAGAGAGAGAGAGAGAGGGGGGGGAGAGAGAAAAAGAGAGAGAGAGAGAGAGAGAGAGAGAGAGAGAGAGAGAGAGAGAGAGAGAGAGAGAGAGAGAGAGAGAGAGCAAATTCCCAGATTGTTTATTTTGAATGAACCTCTAGATGGCGCTGCGCACTACGTCATGACATGACCAGGTGAGAATGACATTCAGGTGAACTTTGAAATTTGACATGGTTCATAACACATTAGGCTATTAAAATGCTGTTATAACATGCTAAAGCATTTGCACAGTTAATAATGGTAAATCTATAAGTTTGAAAACGTCACTACAATGATTGCAGCTATTTTCTTGAGAATCTACATGCCTGCATTATTAGCCCATCTGGGGTCATGGTAATTTTTGTTCTACTTCAGTTTATCCCTATGTATTTTCCCATTCACAGAGAGACTTTGACGTCAGAGCTCAATGCGGTCGGTGATGCTCTTATGGTGCGTTCAGGGAAGCCGCGGAATTGCTATGATCAATCATTAGTTAGTAGGCTAGTATTGGAGAACTGATAGATAAATGCATAGAGGCAATGAGTTATTAATAAGTACAGAGGACAGGTGAATAAACATGCATATCCGATATTAGGATGTTATTAAGCTTGTAATGTATTCCTATTATTATTATTTTCATGTATGTTTTAAACCTAAAATACCTATGTCCAGCCCCAGAGCCGAAGTCACAAGAGAGAAAATGTGTTACCTCTTTGCACTTGTTCATGCAAGTTATACTTCATGGCCCTTGGGCTGTATACATCTGATTATTCCCGCCAGGGGATAAACTTCCAGTCTCAATATAATCCACATTTAAAGTATTTTATTACAGTAAACGTATCATTATAGGCCAAATCCTAAAAGACAAATTTAAGATAAATGATGTGTTTCACAATTGCTTATTTTTGCTTAACTATTTTGTAGTAAAGAGTGTTTGATGAAAATGATTTCAGCAACACACATTAATTTATTATTTCAATCCATTTCCCCCTAAGAGTGTTCAAATATCCCCAAGGACCCTTCCAATCTATGAGTAAACACTTTTCAGAAACAGAGCTTTATTCATACGAAGCATAAGTTATGATTCGTAGAAACCTTTGATTATGTTTTCGTCGCTCCACCTGCCGGTGGTCATTGTCGTGTGTAGAGGAAATTCCGTTTGGTTGGCTGGTCCCTGATGCGGCACTGTTCTCTGGGGCTGGGGCTGGGAGGAGGATACAACAATTCCGATTAGGTTCTGCCGCTGCCAACGATGCAATGCCTCGTTTTACGGATGAGCCATGGGCATAGGCACCTACTGAGTGCTCCGATCACTCCAACAAGACCTCACCACACTCCCTTTTATAAGGATTTACCTCTAGACCAAAAGGATCGCTACCAGACGACCTAAAGTACCCGGTGGACGGCGCACTCCGGGCTGAATGTTTACCGAAGTGCGGCTGGAGAGGTGAGCTTAGCAAGCCGTAGTAACTTTAGCCCGCTACATGCTAACTGCTAACTCCTGCTAACTGAGGTTTTTATACAACATCTGCAAACTCGCATCAGCCAAATTATTCCAGTCGAGTGCAATTTAATTCAGATGAAAGTAGATGTGGTTGTTTGATTTCTTTAAAAAGAAATAAGTCCATCTGGCATAAAGCTAATGTTAATCAATGAACAACGAGGGGCTACATCCTGGCAACGGCAAGCTAATGTTATGCGACTGGCCGTATGTTGCTTACTTATGGGCTGGTCACTCAACTCCCTTGCGTCTGGGTATAAGCACCAACTTGTAAATATAAGGCTATTGTTTTAGTGTGTTTTGGCTCGGTAGATTGTGTTAAGAGTGTCGTAAAACTGATGCATAGGCGTTAACAGAAGTGCGGCTGTATCCTGTCAAAACAAGCCCACCGCCCCCTGCTTTAGTGAGTTTTCAGTGGCCTGGAATAACGGATTATTAGGAGTTTATGAATGAAATTAGGCATAACACTAATCAAAATTAACTTGGTGGTCTCTATATCATACATTTTCCACAAGATCTAGTTCCAAACCGACTGTGAAAAAGTAAGCGTTACGGTAGTGTTCAGGCAGGGATTATGTTATTGTTGTTCATTCGAAGTAGAGCTCCATGTACTACACAATTGTAAAAAAAAAAAAAAAAACATTATTTAGATAGATTGATACATACTTTATTGATCCTGAACGAAATGCAAAGTTCGGCAACAGCAACATAGAAAAGGTATAAAAGGTTAGCAGTTCAGAAAGCAGTTTTTCTTTTTACAATTGTGTAATTATTTGTTAAGTAGTATATTGGTAGTAGTGGTTGGGACAGTGATAATAGATTATGCATGAGTGGGGATCTTGTGTTGAAATGAATAGACCAGATGGTTTGGACACACAGTCAGGTGGTATTGGCACAGAGGGCAAGGGGGTATTTAAGTGTAGTGAAGGAGGACATGAAGCAAGTTTGTGAGGCAGTAGAAGATATAACGATAGTGTTTAATTTATACATGAGTTTTATATGTACATTTTGGCCAATCATAATAACAGTTTTAGCCAATCTTGATGATAGCCAAAACAATCAGCAAAACTTAAACCACATTTCTTCATTAATTTTCAGGAAGCTGTGGCCATGGGTTGCTCCTTCTGCTTACGATGAACTCCAATAAGCTGGATCCCCAAGACCCAACCAGCACGCCCCTGTCTTCCGCAGGGGCTCCTTTCTCCCCATCCCCTTCCCCAGCCATGGCAGGCTTCAAGCGGGGCTATGATGGCAAGATCGCTGGGCTCTATGATCTCGACAAGACGCTTGGAAGGGGCCACTTTGCTGTGGTGAAACTAGCCCGCCATGTATTCACCGGGGAGAAGGTAGCAGTGAAGGTGATTGATAAGACTAAATTGGACACAGTGGCCACAGGTCATCTCTTCCAGGAGGTGAGATGTATGAAGCTAGTCCAACACCCCAATATTGTCCGTCTTTATGAAGTCATAGACACCCAGACTAAGCTTTACCTCATCTTGGAGCTTGGAGATGGAGGAGATATGTTTGACTACATCATGAAACACGAAGAAGGTCTCACGGAAGAACTGGCAAAAAAATACTTTGCCCAAATAGTTCATGCGATATCTTATTGTCACCGGCTACATGTGGTGCATAGAGACCTCAAACCAGAAAATGTAGTCTTCTTTGAAAAGCAAGGATTGGTAAAGCTCACTGACTTTGGATTTAGTAACAAGTTTCAGCCTGGGAAAAAGTTGACGACTAGCTGTGGATCATTGGCTTATTCAGCGCCAGAGATACTGCTTGGAGATGAGTATGATGCACCAGCAGTAGGTATGTAAATATTTAAGATTTGTGTGTTTCTTCACTTTGTTTGATACTTAAAATGCAAATCAGGATAGCGTTCAAGTTTAAACATGACAACTGGGGTGGCGTGTCCTGCTGCTTTCTGTTAATGAAATGGTTTTGAGAAAAATTGATTGCATTTTTATTTGCGGTCTGCATCTTGAAGACTTTGTACTTGGTAAAAACGTCACACCCACGGTCTACTGAATTTTGAATAGATTTTAGTTTCCAATGGCAGGAACAATTGCATACATAAATTCTCTTCATTCTCCACCAGCCAAAGTGGCATTCATTTGCACTATTGACTTTACTTCTAATAGCTGAGTCATAGCTAACCACAGAGTTGAAACATTCGCTTCTTAATCAGCCCTATCAAGTTTCTCATTATGTCTTACTGTGTTTGCATATACATTAACTGTTGGCATGCAGAAAGGGTGTAGTACTCATTTACATTTTGACACAACATTACAATCATTGCCTTACAGGAAAATCTTATGTAACTCCATTAACTACTGTTATTGTCTCTATGTATATTTGAAGACGCTCTGCCGGATTTTTATTGTCTTAAAAATGTGAAAAACAGAACTATTTCATTTGAAATGGTTTGCAGTGGTCCAAAGTTATTCCTCAGTTACCTTTATATATTTAGATCATCCTAATTATTACTTTTGATGAGTTTAGAAGAACGTTAACAAGCAACTAATAGCATGCTTACAGCGCACTTACTGATTATTGGACACTTCATAATTAGATGCAGACAGAACACAGCTGTCCTATGTTTACCACAAGAAAGTACTTGTACAATATATGTGTATATGTGTATTTGCTCAAATACATATAAGAAAATCTGGTACCGCCCACCATTTAGAAACTTAGACTGGTCTTATTACTCATCAAATATAGCACAAAGGTTGCTTATCAGTTGTTGTAAACTGTGATTCGTAGGAATAATGGGCAGAGACTTTTTAGGTAGAGGTTGACTTTATTGTTCTTGTAATATGATTTTCTTTCCGCATTTGACCCGTCCTTCAGTTGCAGTACAGAAGCCATGGCCTGATGGTACCTTTGTCTGGTTTTGGAGTACCTTGCTTGAGGCTATGATTTGGTTAATGGAGAAAACTGGCATGCTGCATCATGAGGAATGGTTCATGCAAAGAGTGATACTGTTCATTAACTGTTACGTTGTTATGACTTCACTGTTGTGACTGACTGGACTACTACCACTGACTTCTTATATTTGGCAGTAGCATTGAGAGATAAGGATCAGGATTGTGATATTTGTTATTCTGATGCTGAGGTGAAGTGTGCATGTTTTCAGATCTTCTCAAAAGCCTCTTCCACTTCAGTAACTACATCTTTCTTCACTGTTCCTTTGCTGTTTTGACAAGCTGTCTTTGGGCCTTTAGAGTGAGGTGAGTGCTGTTACAACTCTCCCTCATGGGCTCCCAGGGGTGTCCCATAGCTCTAAATGAACTGTCCCATTGATTTTGTGTGAAGTTGACAAAGTACAGAGTGACGGGCTGTGTCCCAGTGCTGTTGATATTATAGCTGCCCCATCAGGTGGTACAAGCAGGTGGCAGCCCTCCTCCAGGCCAAATCAGGATCAAGTTTGTTGAGATGCAAGATCACAGTAAGGTCCAAAATGCAATGCAATCCAGAATAGGAAAAAGTTGTAGTCTAATACTTAGCCACTAAAATGTAGGATTGCACTGATCAAGCTTTTTCAGCTCATATACTGATATAAATACCTTGGCTTTAAGCATCTGTCAGTACCCGTTATTAACTGATACCAGTTTAGGGACCAAGAATGGTCTTTTTTTTCCCTAGACAACATTTAGCATACTACAAAATGGATCCAATTGTGTGATGTAATTTTTATTCATATTAAGCTGTTCAGTAGCTACTTGCATTATAAATAACATTATTCATTATGAGATGTCCTAGGCTTACATCAGCCAGTGAATAGTCTAGTTACTTCAAATTAAAGGCCCAACCAGAATACAGGCAGAAATGATATCATGGGACCAGCAAAATTTTCTGTATATCAGATACCAGTATCTGTATTAGTGCATCTACAGTAAAATGTTGCTTTATAAATGTAACTTCTATATGTATAGATATAGAGGATGGCAGCTTTTACCACAAATTAATACCACAATATTTCAGCATTTCATAATGATGACTAATTCTGCCACTAAATGCTTAGTTGCTAATGACGGGCAGTGACATAATGCTCACTGTGGATTAGGTGTAGGAAAGCTAACCATTATGGCAGCACAAATATGCATGGTCCAAAATCATTGTTTCTTTTTCTTTTTTTTATTACTTTCATGTCTTGGAGGTGTGAGGAAGCTGTCCTGTTATCTTTTGTCTTCGAACTTCACACAGTCAAACTTGTTTTGTGTCAGTGCAGTGAACATTAAAGGGAGAAGAGTGGCACCGCAGCTGTTGATTTGTCCCCAGCAGCAGAAGCAGCAGCAGCAGTAGTAGTTGTTGTTGATGTTTTCCAGAGAGAGGCCATTACATGAGTCAGCGGCATCACAGTCAGCAGAGCCAAAGAGCTGGGAACACCACAAATACAGTGTAATGGAGTCATTCACTCAAATGCGTCCAGAACACTTTAGATAATTATTAGAGAAACTCCTTTTGCAATTATAATGTTCCTTTTGGGTGAGGGTATGCTCCATTCATCAGACAAATGTACTATAATGACCTGCATAATGATTTTGATGAATTCTATCAAAACAGTGTTGGAGTACAACAACCAGGCTCATCAGATCACTTTAGAAGTTGAGAATTGTCAATGCAGCATTTAGAAGTTCTGTTTTTGTAACTTGTCCAATAGTCTAGGTGACTCATTGCAGCTAGTAGTAGAACTATTGCAGGTAGTGAAATGGAGATGAAGTTTCAAGTTGTTACCATCAAACTCATATTTCCAAAGGGGCATGTAGCAACTGAAAATGTAATAATGGCCAACAATGTAAGAACACCCAATAACATCTAATTTTGGCCACCTTAAGTAAGTTTGGTTTGACACTCAAATACCCGAGTGACTAATTATAATTCTACATTCACTGTATTGTCAAAACTGAAAAGATTTTATTCAGTGATCGTATTTAACCCATTGGCCATAGGGGAAATCTTTTAATGAGATAAAGCAAATTATTACATCAAACATGCACCCCTAACATGCCATCTAACATGCTCATCCCAACACTGATTTCAAATCATCAGCTCTACATGGCCCTATGCTAAACTTTAGTCCCTGTGACTGAAGTGAACAGCCTTTCTCACACTTTCAGTGCAATTTTAAGCATGAATGTGGAAAAAATAAGAATAGATTTTCTTCCAAACAAATTGATTTGAACTTGAGAATTTGCTTAATTGATGTAATTGATTTTTGGCCCAACCCCAATAGCACAGTCGATACCTTTACCATACTTGCACTATAAACTCATCCAATGCGCAAAAATTGTACTTGACCCCAAAACACCTTAACCATTTTATAAAAAACAAAACAAAAAAAAACAAGTATTAAATTATAATGTAATAACAATAACGCGATGAATGTAAGACCAGCCAACATCAGTCTTCCAGTTGTTGCTTTTGGCCTCAGGTCTGTAAACTCCCCAGACAGGATGTCACACTGGGAGCTCTTCAGAGAACTGCTCCTCTCCAGGGCTTTTGTGGTCTGCACTTTCAAGTACTACTTTCACATTAGTGTGTTGTTTTACTGCTAGTTTAATACAGCTAATCAATTTTCTTGCAAACTTTGAAGTAGAATATGTGTTTACGTATTCAAGGCGTCCATTCTCTTATTGCTTTGAAGAATTGTTTGTTTTTGAGTTTATATCTGTATATTTTCCTTTTACTCTATTGAAGTTATTCACATCACATTCAGTTATTTATTAAGCCATGTTCCTTAGTGTTTCCTGAGGAGACACTTAGACGATTGTGTAACTTTGCTTATAAACTTTAGTGCGCGACATAGATATTTTATACATCTGTTTTTTTATGTATTTTTATTTGTTCAAATATGTATTAGCTTCAGGATCTGATTTAAGGATAGCTGCTGGTGCACTTGATTTGAGTAATAGACACTTATTAACTTACTTACTTTTATTCTTTCATTTGCAAAAGAAATTTGAAGGTTGATATTTTTTCCTACCTTAGCACTGACATTCACACTAACCTCTGAAGTGGTGGTGCAGTTATCTGCCTAAGCCCTGTGCCCACTCTTCACTTGGCCATATCTGACTGAATAGTTGTTATTGCTGGTATCCTTTCTATTACTGTGATAAACTTAGCTCATGTCGTAGTAGTAGTGGCAGAGGTAGCACTTTTGGCCCTAGTCTGGGACACTCCACTGACCACACGCCTGTTACATGAGAGCACTTCTGAGGCAGTCCCCTTCATTCGGAGAGGGAGGCGGTAGTTAGTGGCATGTGGCGAGGTGGTCAGAGCCATTAGCGCTGTATGTTTTTCTGAAAGTGAGAGGAATGATGTGGGGCTCTTGAGTGCTACTTTAGCCATCTGCATGTTTGCTAACTGTCCAAGGCAGTTTGCTATTTAGGCTTATGTGGATGCAACGGAAATTACTGAATGCTTCATGTGTTTTGAACTTCTAATAAAATAATTCATATCTATTGAGTGAGGCTGTATTATAGTTTGACTTTAGTTTGACATTTTAATTCCATTCTGTTGTGGGATTAATTAAAAGACACCCATCTTACTTGAGTTAAAAGTTCAAATTTCTTTTATTATATCATTGAAATTAAAGCATCAAGGTCATGATGTCAGTGCTTCTACAGTATGGGTTTAAACATGAATTAATTGAGTGCAGTTTGTTGCCAAAATACCTTGAAAAACATTACTGTGAATCTGGCCTCCTTTCCTCATATGTGACCTGTTCCTTGGCATCATGGCATCACCTGCTTGTCTGGAGAAAAATTACCTATTGCACCTTTTATGAATTATTTTTCAAGTTT